ATAGATAGATAGATAGATAGATAGATAGATAATTGTACTGTATAATTATATTATCATAAAAGGGAAGTAGGGTAAGATAATAAGGAAGATTAGATGGAGAGAGGTATGGTTGATAAGGCATCCTCTCAATGAAATTAGAGAGCATAAACATTTCATCAGAATTGGATTAAGTTATTTTTGTCAGCAGTCTTGAAGCAATCTTTATGAAGCTGAAACATTAAATCATTTAGAGAAAAAACATCCAATAGGTTTAGTTTGTATAAACCTTATTCACTCCATACTTATGGATTGCAGTAGTCTACACAGGGAAAAGAAGCCATTTGGAAATTAAGGTGCAGATATCTAAGGTGGGTATTGCATACAGCAATGGTCTGCCAGAAAGCAAGGTATTTTTAAGATGTGACTCATGCATATAACAAGGGGGTTACTAGTCAAAAGCATTTAATCTTAACTAGAAAAAAAGAAACCAGATTGCAGAAATCCAGGTGACAGCTAGATGGCAGCACACATATAACAACTCTTCACTCTTTTCTGCCACCTATGGGTCATCTCGGTATCTATCGCTCAGATCTGGTTTCCCTAGTGGAAAAGGGCCAGGCACATTGCTCTTGAAAATACTTGAATGTGTTCAATATTTGGAATAAGTGGAACTATAGCACAACAATGCATCTTAAAAAATAATTAAAATAAATTTACCTGATCAAGAAGATAAAGCCTATTAACATAAGCTTCTTCTGTATGCAGAAGTTCATTTGCAATATTAAACAGCTTTTGTGGTTCTGAATACTGTAACAATACGAAAAATGCAAAATCCACTTTAAATACATATTCCAATTACAAGAGAAATCAAGAATCTTTTTGTACTGTTCCAATTGTTGAAGTATTCCAATTGTTGAAGTATTCTCCTGTGAGAATACTTCAGTATTTTCTGTTGCATTGATCAAGTATACAATTAGCTGATACACAATTACATACAATAATCATGCATATGATTATTAAAAGAGCACATTTCACTGTTATTCCAAAATCAGATTAGTACAGCAAAAATTCCTATAACAAATGAAGAACCATGTAAGATATTTATTATCTTTAGCAAACTATATCAATCCCTCCAATGTGTTACTTATTTCAGTGTGGAATTTCCCTCTCTGAATCAAATGTAGTCCTACTGGCCTGACTGATTAACCAAAGGCAATTAATGTTTTGTCACAAGAGGTTTAAGCAGTGCTCCTGATCTTGCTTTAAAAGTAGGGAAGGAGGAGGAAGAAAGGAAAAAGGGAATTAATCCCCTGTTGTCACTGAAGAAAAACAAGATCTCTCCATTTTCACCCAAGACTAAAATAAATGCACAGTGGCAATAATGTGATCCAGGATAGTGGCAAGATGGAAAATATTAATGAATACTAGTCCCCCCAATCTTTGCAAATGCCAATTTATCTCTAGTTTTATAAAATGTACTGAGAAAATATCTGAACTCAGAGTTATTTTAGTCTTACTCCACTACTGTTAAACCATTTGTAAGAACTATACAACTGTATGCTCATTAAACAAAATCAATGAGAGGTGATTTAAATCACCAAGGTGTAACTTAATACAGATTGTTCAGTATGTGGATACACAGGTATGTGGTGAATTGGCTACATGGGCTCTCTCAGACAATGGCCCCTATACCCTTCTCTCACAATTCTTGGAAAGTCTTTTCAACTGCCGACAATTTCCACTCATTACCAAGAAAATTCCTCTTTGCACCTGGTCGCAGGGGAAAGGAACTGGGAAGTCTCTATACTCTTGACTTCTCCAAGTGGCAGAGTGATATGGTATTATAATAGGCTACATTCCCTGTCAGACTGAGCCTGCTAATACCAGATGATTAGGTTTATTAAGTAGATTAAGTAATTAAGATAAGGGCTAATTGAGGATTGAAAATAATGGGGGGAAAGGAAAAGGAAGATCTCATGAATGTTGCAGGTTTTTACTGACAACTCTAGGGATGAATATATATCAAGAAACACACACACATACATAGGTGGAATGAAATAGGACTAAGCATTCAAATAAACAGATTAGATCGGTCCATAATATAAATTCAAAAAATTCCTAATTTGTATCTAACTCTGCATTTCTTTCTATGGTTATTTACTTCTGAATCCTTCAACCTTTCTCCAGGTTAGGATGTACCTTTTATCTGGAGATAGGTAGACTGGAAAGAGGTGTCATCTCCTGTGATGAAAGACAAAGGAACAAAGGGAAAATGGAACTGCCCTTTTCTTCTTTGTAGAAGTTCATCTGAGAAAGGACAACCTTCCCATTCCTAACTAGTTGTTTATAGCTTGAGTTTTACCTTGGTTCTACACAGTGGTGGGATTCAAATAATTTGATAACCAGTTCTCTGCTCTAATGACTGGCTGGGTAGGAGTGGCTTGGTAGTCACGTGACTGGATGGGCATGGCCAACTCAACATGCTTCTTCTCCCCGCCCCCCCAGACATGAGGGGGTCTCCTTCAAGCTCTCTCCTGGGATACCAAGAGGTAGTATGTGAACTTTGAAAAGAAGACTAGTCTGTCCTTGCACAGAACTGCAGGCACAGCAAGAAATTCACCCAGCTCTAGCTGAGGAGGCTCCCTCCTCAGACTTCAACTTTTCTCTGCTGGGTGAGAAATGGTGGTGGTGGGCGTGTCGCCCTACACCTGATGTCGTTTTTGCAGATTTTTGCATGCACCAAACTGGCAGTAATGCAGGGAGCAACTCAGCCCTGGGCAGGGCCAGTCAGAGGTAGTATTTACTGGGTGTCTGAACAACTCAAAATTTCTGCTACCGGTTCTCCAGAACTGGTCAGACCCTGCTGAATACCACCTCTGAAACTGGGTTATTTGAGGGCCTATCACTTCTTGATTATGTCTACCTGTTCCATTAGACANAGCAATGAAAATCCTCTATCTCCCTGTTACATTTAGCCTAGTAAGGAGAACTACGGATGATATGTTTTTATGTCGCTCAGAATCAACTTGTAGGGAGATTGTAGGCACCATAAAAACTTATTAAATAAATAAATAAATAAAATGATATATTTAATTCATTACATTAGTTGTAGCTGCCCACTCCATGAGACACTGGTTGACATTTAAAATCCAGAAAACTAATAAAGCAATTAAATACGCACACAAACAGGCAGTCCAGACGAAAACAGCCAGAATTAATGGTGCAATTTAATGTCACAGAACCAGGGGGGAAAAAATTTAAAGTGACCTACAAACTGGAAAGTAAGATCAGCAAACATTTCGTAAGAATTCCAAATTGATCAAAAAATCCTACAATGTACTCACTATGTCCGTCTATCAGTCAGTCTGTCAGTCTATCCGCCTGTCGACCTAAAATGTATAAAACTGCTGAACTGAGATTATAATTCTGAGCTGACTCCAATTTTGACTCTGAGCAGCTTAGAATAATAAAAACTGTACAGAAACCATATAACAAAGGAGATGCACATCCAGAAGAAAATAAATGTCCAGCTTAATATACATTATCCTATAAGAGGCTCACTACACACTCTAATCCAAGGCCATGCTTTAATGACCTTTTAAATGAGGTCAGTATGGGAACCATATGGATCTCTGGGAGGAAACTATTCCAAAGGGCAGGTGCAACAAAAGAGAAAGCACATTTTCTGGGTCCCATCAGATGACACTATTAAATCAATGAGACCATGAGATTCTGGTCTTCCCTGATTATGCAAACGATGCCAGTCCATCAGGTAGCATGCCATGAATGGTTTTATAGGTGGTAATCAGCATCTTGAATTGTACCAGGAAACTAGCTGGCAAAGCAGACATGTTGCATGGGCATAACATGGCATGCCCATTACTTCTCATGGCACTGTATTGTGAACCAGCTCCAACTTCCAAATGTCTTCTGTGGCAGCTGCATATAGACAGCATTGTAATTGTTCACATGCGTGGTTCTCAAGTCATAACTGATATCAAGAAAGCACCCCAATCCAGGAATGGGTATTTCTGGTGCATAAGAGGGACCTATGCAAAGGTTTTTATAGCTACAGTTATTACTTGCTCTTTTGAGCAGGACTTACAAATTTAAGAACACCTTCAGATCATGCAGTATTGAATGGGGAAGTGCTATCCCAAGACTCAAAGTGAAAATTCTTCAAGACTGAGTAACCAAAATAGCAACAGAAATGTGGTCTTCATATGGTTGATTCTGACTCTCTCCACATTCAGTATTTACTATCCAGACACTGGGTCAAGACCTTGACTCCATCATTTGGCAAATCTGGGTATCATCACCATATTGATGATACTGGATCCCGGACTGACGGATTATATCACCTAGCAGTCTCATTTAGATGTTAAATAGAAAGACAAGAACCTTCAGTTATCCCAGATGGCAAATGCTTCTGGCTTGATCTCCCATCAATATTCCTAGAGCAAACCTATACTTGATGCAATGAACAATGGTATCAGAAGCTAGGTGGTGCAGTGGTTAGAGTGCAGTACTGCAAGCTACTTCTGCTGACTGCTGGCTACTAGCAGTTTGGCAGTTCGAATCTCACCAGGCTTAAGGTTGACTCAGCCTTCCATCCTTCTGAGGTGGGTAAAATGAGGACCCAGATTGTTGGGGGCAATATGCTGACTCTGTAAACCACTTAGAGAGGGCTGTAAAGCACTGTAAAGCGGTATGTAAGTCTAAGTGCTATTGCTAGGATTAAAGTGTTAACACCACTTTATAATGCCTTGGTAAGGCCACACTTGGAATACTGCATTCAGTTTTGGTCACCACGATGTAGAAAAGATGTGGAGACTTTAGAAAGAGTGCAGAGAAGAGCAACAAAGATGATTAGGGGACTGAAGATTAAAACATATGAAGAACAGTTGCAGGAACTGGTTATGTCTAGTTTAATAGAAAGAAGGACTAGAGAAGACATGATAGCAGTGTTCCAATATCTCAGGGGTTGCCACAAAGAAGAGGGAGTCAAACTATTTTCCAAGGCACCTGAGGGTAGAACAAGAAGCAATGGGTGGAAACTAATCAAGGAGAGAAGCAACTTAGAACTGAGCAGAAATTTCCTGACCGAACAATTAATCAGTGGAACAGCTTGCCTCCAGAAGTTGTGAATGCCCCAACACTGGAAGTCTTTAAGAAGATGTTGGATAGCCATTTGTCTGGAATGGTGTAGGGTTTCCTGCCTAGGCAGGGGGTTGGACTAGAAGACCTCCAAGGTCCCTTCCAACTCTGCTATTGTATTGTATTGTAAACTAAGAACTAGGACACTTGCATCATCCCAGTCACAATCTCACTAGAGATTATTAACAAACTTGTTAACTATATATTGTGATCTATTCTGAAACCCAACTGAAAAAGATCTAAATAAAGTTTCCTCTGGGTCCCGTTGAAGTGCAGCTCAAAACTTTCTCAGTAACACTCCTAAATAGGGGAAGTTTAAATACCAATCAAAAATTATCTAGACTGTTGGTTTCAGCTTCTTGAAATGTGCAACACTGCCACTTTCAAGGCAAGGAGAACCACCATTTCCTTAAGGAGGTTACCATTACTACATACTGCTAGGCAGAAAAACCACTGATTTAATAGATTGTGATCAAGCTCACAGTCACAAAGGGCATTTCCTTAGGAGTAGCAGGTTAATTCTCATCCTAGCTAACCTCACCAGATGTTGCCTCAGTCACCTTGACAGGACTTGCCTAATGCAGCCCCATTCTGAAATGATCCAAGCCACTTTATCCACCAGAGAGCCAGAGTATTCATCACAGCAGCCCTGCAAATGATTCTGTAGCTTGTCCATTTCCAACAAGATCTAAATCATATTAAACAGGGCTACTGGATGATTATCTATGGATGTGATAAAGAGTTGAAAAATAATTACATTTTGCCACTCTTATCACCACAATATAATCCCTGAGCTTTCATTTGTGCTCTGTCAGGTTCGTTTTTTTTCTTTTTCCAATGTGGTTCTAGGATTTTTTTCTAGTGCTTCATCATCCAGAATCCCTCAAAGGGCCAACAAGTTGGCCCAATGAGTGGGAGAAAGCATTGTAGCCAACCGTCGTAGAAAGACTGAGTTTGCATATAAACAGCACAGTTCTTCAGAAAATATTCTACATCTGTATCCATATTAGGCAAGTAAATTTTTGCAAGCCAAATCACTTTGATTCACACTATTTCTTTAAACTTCTTATGAGTTAATTCTAACAACTGGCATACTTTGTGTTCAGGTAAAACAGTTCATTCATCCTAATCATCTTGGACAGAAAATTTGGCAGCTGCATGATTAAGCAGCCACAGGGAACAATTATTTCTGGTCATTTATTGGATTGGACAGCATGTCAAAGTTTTATCAGCAAAGAATCTTGCTAGGCAGAATTCTGCTCCAGAGAAGAAAGTGAATGGCTGACATACAATATTCAACAGGATCTTTCTTCTAAAACCTGTAGCAAGATGGCACCAAGTCCCGCAGGATAGGCATGAAGCATCGCTCACCACAAAAGTTGGTATATTCAGATTATAATAAGGAAGAGATTAAGTTCCTTAGCTAAAGCATCTTTATTCATCTGCTTCAGAAAAGTGCCAAGGGTGTCCTTGTTAGTCAGCAATTGTAGTTATTTTGAAATATCTACATAGCTAAGAATATATTTCATAAGATGGTTGTTGTTAGTTGCGAAGTCATGATCCATTGTGACCCTATGGACAGTGTTTCTCCAGGCCTTCCTGTCCTCTACCATCCCCCGGGGTCCATTTAAGTTCATGCCGACAGCTTCAGTGACTCCATNCGGAAGTAAGTAACTTCCGGGAACGGTGAATGGCCCACCCACCTGCCGGCGCTCCTTACCCGGTTTTGACGAGTTCTGCGCTTCCACGCATGCGCAGGACGCATACAGCGCCTGCGCGATCCTCCAGGAGCAGCTGGAGCATCGCACAGACGCTAGTACGCATGTGTGTGCCACGCGCGTGCACGCGCACACTTCACACATGCACGAGGATGCCGCCGGCCCCGTTCCAACCGAACCGGTTGGAACGGGGCGAGAAACCCACCCTTGGAATTGGCCCACCATCATATAGGTAGGAAAGATTAGACAGCAGAGAAAACAAAAGACATCCAGCAAATAATTTGCTAAAAAATCTTTTTTTCTTAAATTTTAAAATGTATTATTATTATTACTATCAGGACATACACAAGAATGCATTTTATTAACAGTCTACTTATATGAATGTTTCTTAAATGTACTGGTCAATAATACTTACTGTATTTTTTGGAGTATAAGACGCACCGGAGTATAAGACGCACCAAGATTTTGAAGAGGCAAAATTTTTAAAAAGGTTTTTGAACTTTACAGACCTCCCAAATAAACGGGCCTGTTTTTTGCCCCCAAAAGAGCATGCATATCCTTTAGGAGGCTTGTAGAGTGCTCCTGGGGCTGGGCGGGGGATGAGCAAAAAACAGCTTGTTTTTTGCAAAAATGGGCCCGTTTTTGTCAAAAAAGGGCATGTATAGCATTTAGGCGGCTTGTAGAGTGTTTCTTGGGACTGGGGTTAGGGTTAGGGTGGGCAAAATGAGCAAAAAACGGGCCATTATTCACAAAAATGGGCCCTTTTTTGTCAAAACCCCACCCCCTTTGCAAAAATGGCTGTGCACAGCCTTTAGGAGCCTTCCAGAGTTGTCCTGGGTGCTGGGGGAAAAAAGGCCTGTTTTTTGTTCTTTTCTGCCCTCCCAAGCCCCCAGGAGCACCCTGGAAGCCTCCTAAAGGCTGTGCACAGCCATTTTTGCAAAGGGGGCGGGGTTTCAGGAGGCAAAAAATGTTGTATTCAGTGTATAAGATGCACCCAGATTTTCAGCCTCTATTTGGAGGGGAAAAGGTGTGGCTTATACTCTGAAAAATATGGTATATATTTTATTTCTAAAAGGCACTTATACACAGAATGTGCAAAAAATACTGACTGGCATTGGTAAAGAATGAGAAGGGAAGCTAATAATGTGATATCAAAATTAAGCTTTGAATAAAAAAAAGACAAATCTACAAGTAGCCAAGTAGTAAGAAGTACTGATCTATGTCCATACACTATGTATGTCAGTATAATGCAACTTTATCCATGCTAGAATGTGCTGAAAGTAAAAGTCCCACACAGAAAGTAGTAGTATTATAAGAGCAATGCATAAGTTAAAAAAATACCTTGTTAACATCTATACATTCCAGCTTGGAGATGTCTGCTATTTCCGGCTCTTCACTACTTCCCTCGTCTATATCACTGTCTTCATCCTGAGCAGAATCTCTCTTCTGTTCCCCGGCAGAAAATAGGACAGGTTTTTTGTCATTGTCCATTTCAACTAGATCCGCAGTTCCCGTTGTTTTTTTCTGTTCTGTAACTTCCTCGTTTGGAAAATTCTCTCCTGCTACATTACAAGAAGGACTGTCTATTCCACTATCTCTGTTAGGGATTTTGTCATTGCTATTCATCTCAATGGATGTGTCCTTATGGCTGTGCACTGCCACAGAAGCTTTGCTGATGGGCACATTAGTAAAATCTTCAGTGTTTGTGGTGTCATCTATGTTTAGTTCTTTGATTTTCATTAGATCTGTATTAGACCCTTCAGGACTACCCAAGATGTTAGGCCCACTCTCATCCAACTCTTTATTTTCATTTGTTGTAGTGCTGGAAGCCACCAAATCATAGACGATTGGGCAATGCTGTTTAGAAGAATCTGGTTCTTGTTCCATCTTAAAAACTAAATTAATCTGATTTCTTTGCCCAACATGTGTGGGTTGCCTGCAAATGAAAAAGTTTCAAGGTTATTGATATGAGAGATTTTAGGACATCCATATGAATTCATAGACTGTGAAAAAGCAATAATTGAAGTAATATTTAATCTATCACAAATTATGATATCAAATTTTTAAGTTTTCAGGACCACCTCTAATTTTGGATTGGGGAAAGTGGTTTATTACTAAAGTATTATTAAAGCAAATTTTCACTGGATTGGTTAAACCAATGTAATGACAGAATCTGAATTTTCTACATCAGCACCAAAATATATTTGGTTGTCTTTCTAAGCCTCATTCTTTGCCTTGAATATTCATACAAATATATTTAAACTCAGAGTTTTCCGTTTTTATAAGGAACAAGTAAAAGCCACAAATTTGGCTTTTATAATTTTAAGAGCTATATTAAGGAAGTCAGTGCATTCGGAGGAATTAGCTTTTAGACTATGTATTTTTAGCTTCCAAAAACAAAAACAAAACCCAGCACCTACAGATTATGCTATCATGACAAACCTCCACTTCCTAGGCATTTGCAATATATTCATAACTTCTCAATTGACAAGTCTGTCAATTTTTAAATAAGTATTCTTTATAGGATAAAAAGAATGCCTAACCATGTAGTTCAAGCAAACTATATCAATACAAGATCAAACAGGAACAAACTTTTAGGATACAGAAATATATTATCATGAACACTTGGACTGGCCACTCATCAATATTACAACCTATTATATATTAAGAATTTTAAAAAGCGTTAAGCCAATCACTTTTACTTATATAAAAACAAGTATTCCAATTTTTTTAAAATCCTCCATTGGTTGTGAGATAGGTTTCAATCCCCCCCCCCACTTAAAATGACCCAGTTTAGTAACTATTATAATAATGGTCACTATTATAATCAAATCACTACTATTTTCTGTATTTAAGGATTGTATGCCTCAGCTACTCCAATTTCATTGTAGCTTTTTTTTTTTTTAACAATATTCTTTAAATGAAGAGATTCTGACTGGAAAATTAACCAAACACTCTTACCTTATCTCTTCAAATTTTTCAATAAGCCTGCTTATATCTGCTGAGGCATGTGTGGCTTCTACTTCAGGCACTTGAGTTCTTGAAGACTTTGGATCTGCTGGTAAAGGCCTAGATGGTGCTGGAGGAATCTTCTCCTGTCCAGCAGGCTGAAGATGAACAGGTTTTGGAGGTACTACAAATCCAAAATAAAAAGTAAATTCTTTTTCATCTTTACAGCTAATACAGAACAAAAGTTGAGTGCTCCTGGAGACATTGTTTGTTCTCAACAGTTGAAGCCATGTAACATTAGGTTATTTTCAAGTATAAGCACACTGGTTTTAAGTGAAGTGGTACGAGTTCATGTAAAGCTAGTATCTTCCAACTCTTGATAGAACAAGTGTGACCACTTCCTGGTTGCTAAACAGGATATACAGTGTGCAAAGACATTGCAAATTAGTAAAACCTCTAGCTCTAGCATACTCGTTAACGCAGGGCTGAACATTTGAAGAAGTGGTGACCCAACACTTTGAATACTATTACATTAAAGCCATGGAATATTTCAAAGACTTTTTTTTTTCATCCTCCCATGCTCATTCTTCTGGAACCTCAAAAGGCAAATTAAAAACAGCCCATCATTTCTCCTTTTCCCTTCCCCCCAACTTTTTATAGTACAATATGCTAAATATCCTTCCTCTTTTGTTGCAGTCTTGAACACATTATTGTGACAAAAGCATTTGCCATGTACTGCTGCTTGTTCGTGAGGGGGAGAAGAGAACAATGAAGCACATATGCACTTCAGTCCCACTGTGTGAGTCTTTTTTTTTTCAAAACACAGCAAACCATGTGAAATTCTCACCCTGCTTGGAAGTAAGTAGTGCTTTTTAAAAGCCTCCAAGCAGTAACCCCTAGCAACAGGGTCATGTGTTTTCATTGTTCCTTACAGCTGAAAGCAACTTTAACTGATCCTTCAAGTAGAAACAGAAAAAGTGACTTAGGAGAATTAATGGCAATTATTTGTCTCGGCAATACCTGTGTTTCAATCAGGTTTGACCTGCTTAGTGGGGGAAAATGCTAAGCATTCAAAATTTTAGAATGCTGTATGCTGTGCAAATGAGACAATAAAAAAAATCATGTCCTGCTTTTATGTAACCTGGTCAAAGCATATTTCACTTCACAAGGGCAACGTAAGTGAACTAAACGGGGATTCAGAATTTAAATTTGGAAAACAACAGAATTAAAGAATTCAATTTACACAAAAGGAGGGGCAAGAACAAAAAAAAACCAAAACAATATCAAAAGCTAGTGAGAAAGCAAAGATAGAATATTAGAATGAGAAATCCTTCTCATTAATCATCACCCATAGTACCACGGTCTTCACAATACATATGGTTGAAAATGGCAATCTCTGTCAATAGAAATTACTGTCAGAATCTCTCTGAGGTCACAGTTTGAAATCCAGCAGGTTATTAAGACTTCAGTAAGGCTAAAAGCAAGAACTGTGTACTGGATAATTAGAGTTGAAGCCTAAACATGAGAACCAAACTATCCTAGGATCAACAGTTTGAATTCCCAGCAGTGTGGAGAAACTGAACAAGTCCTCAGCCCATCAAAGTCTCTCACTAATGAGAGAAGTTGCTTGGACTGAAAATAAAATTGATGGGCAGATGGGTTCCAAGGCCGAGCTGAGCTGGACTGATACAGAGGTTTCATTGGAACCCAAATGATATCATTAAAATGCACTGTTGGCACATTGTTATGAATTTTTGATCCCATCACTCTGCTCAGACACACAGATATTCATAGGGAATCATCATTTCACAAAGCAAAAGTAACTAAGAATGAAAGTACAGTAAGTATTTAGAGAAACAGTGACAAATATAATCTATGCGGAGTCTTGATCTGTCTCCTTACTTAAATGCATATTGCTAAAGGATTAGCAGCCTGTTTTTCTTGTTAAAGTTTATTTGATTTAACCATTTACTGAAACAGTTCTGAAAAGTTGTGATCTAAATATGATTTGCAGAACATATTTGCACCAAAATAGAAGTGCACAGATTTAAAGAAAATTCTCACCCAATGGCTGACTTCCCCATCCCAGAAAATAATCCAAAATCTCATGTAGATTTTGCTCATTTTAATTTATTTTGGGCAAGCCATGTTGTTTGGGGAATAGATTCTACTTTTCTGGAAGACTTTTCTTACACTATCTAGTGACACTATTGTGGGATTATGGGAAGAAATAAAATGTTTACTTCCATTTAAAGGAGAAAGGGGGTATTTATTTGAAAAAGAACATCCATTAAATATGAATGAGATTTTGCACATGGGTATTTGATGCATGTGTGAAATGGAAATGCTCAGAAGGTTATCCTCAGGTTACAATAGCAATTGGGACTGAAAATGGCAGCTCTTAAACAGGCTGGTGCTCAGGTAAGTAACTGGTGGCGAGTGGAGGATGATAAACAAGTACAGTGGAGAGGAATGGCTGCTATCTGGAGAGAAGAGTGTATGATGATGTGTGGGTGGCCGTTAAGGCACAATGGAAACGCGATGGACCAGGAGATGGTTGCTGCTAGGTGGTGGAGGGTATGCAAATGACCACAGTGAGTCCTGTAGCTGGTGGAGAAAAAAGTGCTGAGAGTTCAAACTGCTTACCAGAGTGTCTTGCAACCTTCAAATGACCACAGGAGTACTGGGACTGTTTGATACTTCAAGTTGAAAGTATCACTCATTCAGCACTGTTGTAACTTTGAACAATCTCTGAACAAGTAGTTGTTAATTGAGAACTATTTATATAAGCATATTTTGTCTACCACAACTGAAGTCAAGGTCCATTAAATAGAGGTTTTACTGTAAGTTGAGTTACCTCCTTAGGTTAATTAGCCCTTCAATCACTTCCTGAAACAATATTTTCCAGCTTTGTTACAAAGTACAATAAACTTCTATTAGGTTCTCAGCAAGCACCAAAAGTTCCCCAGTTCACATTCCCTAGAGTTCAAAGGTGTTATTTACTTACAACATATTGTTTGCATTTCTCTATATAACGTTTTGTCTTTTATCCAGATTCCAGACATAATAAATATATTCATCTCCTGTTTGGATTATTGTAATAAGATTTATGTGGGTCTGCCCTTGAAGACCCCCTCGGAAATTGCCACTGGTCCAGAATACAGCAGCATGGGTAGTTATTGGTTTGTCTTTGAAATAGGGTACACCATTACTTTGCAAGCTGTATTTGCTGCTAATAGGTTTCCAAGTGAAATTCAAGGTGCTGGATATCATCTGTGAAGTCCTTCAAGATGATAGAGCTGTCTTATTTGCATATCTTCTGTCTCCTATAAATTCTGCATGCCACACATGAGATCTGTCAAAGCAATGGCCAATCTAAACAGCCCCAATTCTTTTGGCCTTCTGCAATGTAGTGGAGACGTAACTGTTTTTGCTTGGGTTGGGCATTGATTCTCACTGTGAGATATTCTTTTTAGAGGTTTTATGGAAAGAAAAGCTTGGTTATTATTTGTTTTGTGTGTTGGTAGTTGATTTTTCTCTTCTTCAGGCCACACAGAGTCATTTTTATCTGGACACTAACATAAATTAATTAAATAAATAAATTTATACAAGGACAGGATTTCCATGCCTAAAATCATATATTCTTTTTTATTTATGTTGAATGTTTGAATGTTTACATTTTTTATTTATTGATTATAAATGCCTAATGAATCAGAATTAAGTTATAGTATAGCCTTTGTTGTCATTGTACAAAATAAATACAACAAAATTGGTTATTTAATTTTTCCTACATAGTCAAATTAACAGTAGTAAAAGAGCACTGGACAAAGTAATCATAATTAGCTTCCTAATAGGAGCCAAAAAAACCCAGCAAAACCTAATCTCCCTACATATCATAATTATAATATCATGAACTTTAGTTGCAATCATTTGATGCATATTATCTTGTTCATGCAACTACATAAAACATCTGATGGATGACTGTAACTTCATCTTTCAGTGTATATATTTTTAAACATGACATTAAAATCACATTACTAAAGAAGGACACAGATACAAACCTTGGGGTCTTAACAGATATTTCTTATCCAACTGGGATTTTCTTTCACCGTGCTGCAACTTAGCACATGTTTCCAGCACTATTCTTGACTTAACCTGACCATTGATTTGAAAAGTAGAAGGACAACCTGGAATAAAATAAAGAACCATGGTTTAATTTTTAATTTTTATTTATTTTATTTTGATATTTTTATTAAACAGTTGAGCCAATATTAAGAGTGATACTAAAATAATAATTGATAGGGCTATAGATTAAAGTTGTCCAGCATTTAAGTTTTGAATGGAAAAACTAAATGTATTTTTCCATACTTGCATGGTCATGTACCTGCTGGTAATTTCTTAAGCCAAATATTTCCTTTCCCAGGGCTTCACGACAGCAGTTGCATGATATTCGGAAAATGTGCTGGTTTTTTAAAGGATTAATTGGCACGCTGCATGTGTGTTGGACAGCTCTACAGTTTGCTTCATTGCATGAGTTAGGTTACAGAATCTTGGAACTGGGTGCATGACCTCTCATTTACTTTTTGTGGCGCAGTGGTTAGGGTGCAGTACTGCAGGCCACTTTAGCTGACTGTTACCTGAAGTTCAGCGGTTCTAATCTCACCGGCTCAAGGTTGACTCAGCCTTCCATCCTTCCGAGGTGGGTGAAATCAGAACCCAGACTGTGAGGGCAATATGCTGACTCTGTAAACTGCTTAGAGAGGGCTGAAAGCCCTATGAAGCGGTATATAAGTCTAACTGCTATTGCTATTGCTATTACCATTTCTTCAAAGAGGAACTCATTTATCAATGACTACCAAGAATGGAGTCTTGTTATTGCCATTACTTCTCTTTTCGAATCTTAGTTTCATGGAGAAGATAGCAATAGCATTTAGACACCATCCCACAGTGTTTTACAGCAGACTCTGAGCAATTTACAGAGTAAACATATTGCCTCTAACAATGTGGGTCCTCAAAGGATGGAAGGCCAAGTCAATTTTGAGCTGATCAGGATCAAACTCCCAGCTGTGGGCAGAGTTTGCCTGCAATACTGCATTCTAACCATTGCGCCACTATGGCTCTTTAGTAATGTAAGAAAGTAATTGTTTATTTGATAACACACAAATATTTATCTGTTCGTATTCTGTAATATTTTAGAAACTTCATTTTCATTCCCAGAATGATAAAATTCCTTTACATTTGCTATTCTATGTATTCTATTCACAATGTATTTCTATCATTCTCCTACTTTTTCCCCTCAGTCACAATCTTTGCCTCATTCCATCCCCATAGCATATTTCTTCATGCTTCCGATCAGTGTAAGGACAAACACTTCTGAGTCACCCTTTAACGTAATTTTTTCCACTCTATTAGGAAGCTCAATATTTCACCATTCACTGAAAGGTAATATATAACTTTCACTAACTTATGAATTGCTACTACCAGACAACAGATGATGCCAATTCATGTGACATCCATTCATATTTTCTTATGTATAATTCAGCCCTTCCATTCATACTTACACCTATACCTTCATTTCCATCTTCCTCTATCTCTATATAAGATTCCTTCAAAGATTGCATGGAAGCTATATTTTTTTTGTACAATGCACAGCCATTCTATGGCAGGTAAGAAAGCCATTTACCACTGGTTTGTAGGCAATGAATAGGTTTCTGAATACAATTCAAAGAGCTGATTGTTCAAAAATTGCCTACTCAGGCAAAACTAACACGTGATCATAAATGATGATGTTGAGAGTAGGTATCCAACATGGGATCTGAGAAGGAAAGAAGGGCACATGGCTCTTCAGCTTAAATTCCATCCTGAGAAAGAATTTACTTTCAGAAATAGCCTCTTTAATGGCATTTTAAAAGGTAATCCCCAATGCTTTTTCACACAGCTGTTAGTTAATGATACTTTAAGTACTGAGTTAGGCACTTAATATGGATGTCAGGTCAGGGCAGTTATATTTTATTGATTTTCAAGATCACCTTTTGTGTAAACCTAGGTATATAAGATCAATCCACCTTAATTCAGATCTATTATGCTTTCTCTCTCTCTCTTAGCTTTACAGATAAGAGTTATTTTTCTTCATTTCATTTTGAATGTACATTATTATTTATGTCTCTTACATTCCAAATCATAATCATACACTTTTCATAGTTGCCATTAGATAGATGCAAAGATCCTGATTTCCATCTTGAGGCTTTCTTATG